TATAGAATGCTGGGGGTCTTGAATTATATCGATATCTACTACAGCAGGTAGGTAGCACAGAAGTTAGAGCAGTAACTACTGTTCAGGACTCAAGAAGACTTGAATACAAATTCTGCCTCAGACACTAGCTACGTGACCCTGGGCAAGTTTCTCAAACTTCATCTGTTTTAGTTTCCTTATCTGTAAAATGGAGAAAATAATAGCACCTCCCTCAAAGGGTTGTTGTGAGGATAAAATGAGATAATCTTTGTCAAGTGCTTCGTAAACCTTAAAATGCTATATAAGTGTCAGTTTTTATCATCATCATCATTATTATTATCATTATTATTTAAAATGTACAAGTCACACAAAGCTGGAAGGGATAGCTCACAGATAGTATGTTAGAACCAAGACTCAAAAAATATATTGGTGGGCTCAAGAATTGGGGAATGTTAATAGAGATAAATGTAAAATCTTTGACTTAAGTTTTTTTGAAAAATCAGTTTATAGGCATACACTGAGAAAGGCCTCATAGTTAGAACCAGGGCCCAAAAGTCACTAAACTGTATACCCTTTGACCCAGTGATAGCACTCCTAAGTCTATACCACAAAGAGATCAAAGAAGAAAAGGATTCGTGTGCATTTATAACAGCTTTTTGCATAGTAGCCAAAAAACCCTGGAAACTAAGGGGGTGCCCACCTATAGGAGAATGACTAAACAAACCATGTGTATATAAATATAATGGAATATGATTGCTTCATAAGAAATGACAAAATGTTCTGGAGCAGAGGAAGCTGGAGGAAGACATCTATGAGCGAATGAAGGGTGAAGGGAGAGCTAGAACAGTTTGTACAATGACAACAACATTATAGGGAAAAATAACTTTGAAGGATTTAAGAACTCAGATTGGTGAAGTGATAAACCGGGAGGCCAGAGGGCTAAAGGTGAAACGCCCCACCTACCTCCTCCAGAGAGAGAGGAGGGACCTAAAGTCAGAATGAAGCATACATTTTGGGGTGTGGTGAACATGAACATTTGTTTTGAGAATTTTCTTTTTCTTTTCTTATTGTTCACATGGTGGGGGAGGGCAATGGAAGGGAGAGATAATAAATGTTGTAAGAATAAATACATTTTTTAAAAAAAGGTGAAAGAGGCATGACTAGATAGCCATTCATCTGAAAAAGATCTGGGGGCCTAAGTGGACTGCATGTATAGGTGATAGGAGCCACTATCAGAAAAACTAATGTGGGCTGTATGGATTTGGGACCCACTCCTGTAGTCTTTGCTGACGAGGAGGCTGAAAACTGTGGATTTCTTGAGTATGAGAGTTCTGAGCTGAAAGGGTCAAAAGCCCAACCTGGAAGCCTAGCACTAATATCGTAAGCCCTTAAGCCCAAACTGCTTAAGGAGACGCAAACCAGCCCAGGTCCTCTTCAAATCAAGGTGGTTAAAGCTTCGATGCTGATCAATATTGGGATCAGGCTTTAGTGGCTGCTACACTTCCAGCCTGGGTGACATGCTTATCCAGTCTCAAAGCCATGCACTGCCCCCCCCCAAAAAAAGTGATGTTAGAATGGGTTAGGAAAGGCAGTCCCAGGCCTAGGAAGGTGGCAGAGTGCTGTCTTTCACCTTAGACCACATCTGGAGAATCGTATTAAGTTCTAGGTGTCACATCTTAAGAAAAGGTGTTGATCAAATGGAGAGAAGCCATGGGATGGTACCAGCACGGTAAAGGGACTTGTGAGCAAGCTTCCAGAAGAGAAGTCTTGGGAGTGGGGGAGGGAATGATAGCCATTTTCAAGTATCGGATGGACTATGGTGTGGAAGAGAGACTCTGAGATGTCAGAGGGTAGAACTAAGAGCCATGGGTGGTGATTTCATTGACGCTGGATGAAGGAGAGGCTGTTCTAACCATGAGTATGATCCCGAAGTAGAATGGCCTGCCCCAGGAAGGACAGAGTTCCCTCTTCAAGCAAAGAATCCCAAGATCCGAGGGCCAAGGCTGGCCGGCTAGTCCAATCCCCTATCTGTGTCACAGATAAAAAAAAACCGAGATCCAAGCAATTGAAGTGACTTGCAGTGTCACACGGGGAGCAAGCGTCAGAGGCATGACCTGAACACAGGGCTCCCCGCCCTTTCCACTCTGTCACACAGGTCCCTTCCAGTTCTGAAATTTTTGATTCTGATACCTGTGTCACCTTGGGCAAGTCACTTCTGTCATTTGGCCTCAGCTTTCTCATCCTTAAAATGAAGGTGTTGGATTAGACCTGGGCTTTTTAACCTGGGGTCCCTGAACTTTAAAATATGTATATTTTGATGACTGTATTTCAATCTCATTGGTATCCTTTGTAATACTCTGTATTTTACTTTGTGCATTTAAAAACACTATTTTGAGAATGGGTCCATAGACTTTGCTGGGCTGACTGCCAAAAGAAAGTGAAGAAAACCTGGCCTGGCACCCTTGCACCTCTACCTCCTGTGATCCTTTGAAAAGGAAGCTGTTTATGTCGCCGGGATCAGAGGGCAGCCTCGGTGCAGCTCTATCATCCAGGAAATAGGAAAGAGAGAGAGGAAGGTGTCCAGTCCACTGGGCAGATCCTCTGCGGAGAACTACCAAAAGAAAAGGATGATACATGGGTTTTTACACGAGAAGGCAGCCAGGAGTGGGGAAATGTATGTATGAAGGGCACAGTCAGGGCCTACAAGGTGTCAGATATGGTGTTAGGCTAATTAATAAAGCATTGTATTAGTTACACTCTAGGCACTGTACTGAAAGCTGGACTTACAAGTAGAAGTAAGAAAGATAGTCCCTGCCCTCAGGGAGCTTACATTCTAATAATTACAACACAGAAAGGGAGGTGAGAAGGCCAATAAGTCAGAGGTGGGAGTCAGAGACTGAACCAGGTTAGCTGAAGCATGGATGGCGTGAGGACTTCCTCAGATGAAGGTAAGGAACTCCCCAATCAGAAGAGGAGGAAGAGAAGACTGACGATCTAGAAGTGTTTCCATTATGGGAAGGCCCCTGGGGCAGAGGTAGAAAAGTAGTCTGGGGAGTTAGGAACTGAGCATTGGTTAGAAGTGTTAAAGAACTGGGGATACAAAGAAAAATACAAACCAGTTCCTGCCCTCAAAGAGCTGCCATTTTAACGTGAAAACACCCTCACGGAGGAGACCTGTTGAGCCTATGCCAAGATTGTCCATTGCATCCCAGGTCATCTCCAGTCGTCCTGACTTTTGTCCCACCACTGGACTTCCAATGACTCTGGAAGAGACAGTGAGGCCGATGATTTTGTGCAATTCTGCCTCACTTAAATCCAATTCTCTTGAAAGTCAAGATGTCACCTCATGATGTCACGAAGGACAAATGGCCATCACCACAACAACACCTTTATAGGTGTCTACAATTTACAAAGTGCTTTCTTAACTATTTCCTCCCCTTCTTCTCACTCTGGAACATCCATCCACCACCTGGCCCCCTTCTCTTGTAGATGAGTTCCTTCACAGTTTTCCATTTGGGCCTTGGCCTCAGGCTGGCCATGCTTCACTCCCTTCCTGGTTGTGCTTCAGACTGTCTTCCTTACCATATTCCCTGTGGGTACTCTGTGCATACCCTGCCCACTCTGATCACCTTCTCTTTATGTGCTGTATTCCCCCATTAGAATGTGACTTTCATAAGGACACAGACTGCCTTTCTGCTTATATTAATATCCCCAGCAGTTAGAACTGTGCTTTGTTTTTGTTTTTGGGCTAGGCAATGGGGTTAAGTGACTTGCCCAGGGTCACACAGCTAGTGTCAAGTGTCTGAGGCCGGATTTGAACTCAGGTCCTCCTGACTCCAAGGCCGAAGCGCTCCACCACCGAGCTACCCCATGCATCGTGCTTAATAAACGCTTGTGGCTTGCTTGCCTGCCTTCCTGTCCTTCCACATGGGGCAGGCTCAACAGCCATTAATATTATTCCCAGGAAATCCCACCTCCCACAGAGAAGTGAATCTTTCATAGTCATGCAATTAAGAAAAGGTCTAGCTAGGATTAGAACCCAATTCTCCCTGTTTATCCTCAGCCCACTGTATTTTCTGTTGTTGCAGTGAATTAGGTCAAACTATTCTGAGCTTCAAGGGCTGAAGAATGCCTCTTGTCCAGTTTATGACAGGCGGTTGGATGGACAACCTAGAGCTCGTCCATCTATGTGTAATTCTTGGACCAGCACTGCAAGTGGACCTGGGCCAGGACTTGAACAATAGGAGAGTGGACTAGATTACTTTTGAGAAATGTCAAAGATCTCTTAATGACTTTAAGTTTCTCCCTAAAACATAGGCCCACCAACCAACACCAATATTATGCTGATGGTGATGTTGTATAACTGTGAGACACGGGATGCCAGATTTCAAAGATGTAGAAAGAGTAGTAACCAGGAAGCAATGAAAAGGCACAAGGAAGGTATAAATAGGCCACAGCAAATTACAAAGAGGGAATGATAAATAAGCATAAATAATAAAAAATGATAAATAAAGGAATAATAAATAAATAAAGGAAGAGTGGTGTGAAGGATGGCATGAAAGACATACGTGATCGATAGATAAAGAAATGGGCTGCTCATGTTTCAGAGCAAAAGAGAACCATTGGACAGCCTGTGGACTTCATTAATATCTTCTTCATTGCAAGAGAAACTGACAGGATCTCAGCACATGCAGTGAGCAGACTTATGGACTGAAAGAGGTGTAATAGGATGGCCAGGTTTGGATGGATTGAAAACCACTTTGATGAGATCAGAAACACTGGAGCATTTAAGCTCCAGTTAATTGGAGCTGAGAAAAGCCAGGAAGGCTAAGACCTGAGTTCTGGGCAGGGAAAGAGGGAGTCCAGCTGGAGTCATGGGGAGCATATGAGTGAGCTGTGTGGGATGGGCTGACTGGGAGTGCTATGGCCTGGGCTTGGATGCATTCTGGAGAATCAGGTTACTCAAGAAAGGTCAGCTTTTCCCAGGCTGCCTCCCTCCAGACTTTTCCCTTCCCAACCAGGGGCCCTCCTTGAAGACCAGACTTCTTACTGCTTCCCTCCGGATACCCACTCCCATCTAGCCAGCAGGTGCTCCTTGAGACCCCTCTGCAAGCACTCTGGGTGATGAAGAAGAGGGAGAAATCCCTACCCCTCGTCCTCAGGGAGCTTACAATCCAGGTATGGAGATGAGACAAAGAAAGAGGAGCGATAAAACTTGGGTTTGTCATAAAATCACAGAATTTAAAAATTGGAAGGTACCTAAAGGGTCCTGACCATAATCCAGAGGAATCTCCATTACAACATGCCCGACAAGTGGTCAGCCAGCTTCTCCCTGAAGGCCTTCAATGAGGCAGAACCTCATATCTCCTTAGACAGTCCATTCCACTTTGGGACAGCTCTCTGTGTGAGAAAGTTGGCTTAGGGGAATGTGTGTGAGTGGGTGGGTTTACATTTTAAAAATTGTCTTTGTGCCAGAGTTTAATACTATGCCCACAGGATAGCCCTTTAAGAATTTAAAAATGGCTTTAATGACACTTTTTAAGTACTTAAAATGGCTTTAATGTCAGCCCTTAATCTTTCCTTCTCTAGGCTAAATGTTCCTCTTCCTCTCCATCTGAACCACCTGGGACGTGGATTCAAGGCCTTTCCACATTCTGGTCACCTTCCCCCAGACACTCTCCAGTTTATCAAAGTTCTTTTTAAAATGTGGCTCCCATCACTGAACTCAGATATCCAGAAAGGTTCTGGCCAAGGCAGAAGATACTTTCAGTGGGCCTCTCAGTGCAGCCCCGAAGTTGAATTTGCTCTTTTGGCTGCCAAATCGTGTCTTGATTTTCACGGAATTGGTGGGTAGCTAAAAACACCTAGTCATGCTTCTACAATTCGTTTCAGTGTGACCTTGGGCAAGTCACTTAGGAGGTAGCATGGGATAGGGGAAATGGCATAAAGCAGCCAGCTTTAGTGCACCTCACCTCTCTACCTCCCTTCCCCTCAACCCCCCCCCCAAAACATGCAAGCATGCATGAATACCCACAGACCACAGCTACATCTAATGACAATTATCAATGTATCTGTGATGCTTTACAGTTTTGACATTCTTAATTTCCCTCCCACCTCTGGTCTAAGGATTTCTCCGAGCTCTGACAACAAATGAGATAATATTTGTAAGGCACTTTGCTCTACAGAGTGCAATGTAAGTGCTACCTGTTATCATGATTCTGCTTTCTAATGGCCCTCCAAGTTCCTCCTCCTATCCCCTACCTCTGACATTCTATGATTCTTTGATCTGGACCTCAGTCTTATCATCTGAAAAATGGTGATACCAGCTGCTGGACCTCATTCACCAGGCTCAAATAATAGGAAAGATAGAAAACTGTCTTGTAAATTGTAAAGCAAAAGCGTACATTTGTTATTATCGTGAGATATAGCTGTGATCTGTGTGTGTGTGTGTGTGTGTGTGTGTGTGTGTGTAGCACAAAAGCTTTATGGCCCCAGCAAAGCTTCAACTTCCTCAGTTTCTGAAAAAGATCCTTAGAAATGAGAGCTTGGGAGTGTAGGAAGGTGAAGGAGTGGGGTGGGGTCAGAATCAGACTTATTTGTGATGGACTGGATCTTTTCTTTTTTTTGGGACTTAATCTTTTAACAGGGAAGGACAATACATGGGGAGGGAAACAGCTTAGTCCTTAGAGATACTGCCTCCCCAGGCAGGGGTCTGGCCAGTCCTTGGACAGGGGCTTGCTGGGAGGCTTGCTTCCCCAAGGCCCTTCTCCTTCCTACCCCAACATCTGCCCAGGCAAATGATCCTGAAGCCTACATGTAGGAGGATTTAAGAGGAGAGTCCACAGAGCACCCTAAGTTATGGGAGAGAGGAGGTCCAGCTGCTCTGAGGTCCCACCTCCCGTTCTCTCTTCTGCTTACTATCTTCCCTTTTCTTTCTCTTTCACACCTCCTCCCCCACCTCCCTCTCTCCTTTTCCTATCTCTTCCTCCCTCTCCCCCCCTCCTCTTTCCCCTTTCTTCTCCTCCTCCTCCCCCTCCTCTTCCTCTTCCCCCCCTTCCCCCCTTCCTCTTCTCCCACCAGAGCCAGGGAAAGGAAGGGGCCCACTGCTAGTACTTGCTTTAACCCCTTCTAGGCAGAGGACTGACCCAGCAGGAGGGCTTTCAGGAAGCTAATGGGAAGGGGCTAAAGCCAGTAAATGAAAGTTATAGCCAGGATATGTTTCCCTGAGCTCAGCTCCAATCTGGGGCATGCAGGAAAGATGCACCTGGATCTCATAATATCCCAGGGCCAGCCCAGCCCAGGCAGCCAGGTTCCATTTTCCCTCCCCCACCCAAAGGAAAGATACTCTTCAACTCCTGTTTAAGGGGCATTTCACTCAAATAAGAGTAGGGACAAGAGGGAGGATGGTGAAATAGTAACGATAATAATAATATGTAAAATGCTTCCAATTTCTAAAAAGCTTTGAGGTTTGCAAAATGTTTCCTTTTCAACAGCCCTATGAGGTAGTTTGTACAACTATCATCAGTCTATTTTACAGATGCAGAGACTGAGGCTTTCTGGAAAAAAGATGAGCAAACACTCCCTCTTTGAAAGAGAGGTGGGAACCTATGTGTGTGGAATGTTGCCTACGCTGTAATAGCCTGACGGCTTTTCTTTGTTACAAGAGAGCTCATTTAGGTGGGAAGGCATAACCAGTAATGGCTGTGATGCTAAAAAGAAAAAGGAACAGAAACTGAGGCTGAATGTGATATTCTTTGTCCCCTACTCTGGATCACGGAGCTGATAAGTAGTAGAGCCAGAATTAGAACCTCCTGATTGGAGATGTCAGTGACTTTCCATTAGGAAGAAGATGGGGGGAGGTGTCCAAGGGTGAGAACTGGAGGAAGATGTCCAAAGTCCACAAAAGGACCTTGTGACCTAAGTTTAGCCCCCATCTTTTCTCCCCATTATTTATAGACCACTCTTCTTCCCTGCTTTCCTAGGGCAGCCCAAACAACCTGTCACTGATCTGGAATTCAAGAAGCCTGGTTCTATGTGCAGGTTCCCTTACTGGGGGACCTTGGACTACTATTCCCTTCCCCTCCAGGGCCTCCTGGTCCTCAGCAGTAAAATAGGGGTGGGGCTTGCTCTATGGCTCTCAGAGCTAGAAGATTAAGAAAGCTCAAATGTTGTATGAGTTTATATGAATCAAATGAGTCTGCTCCCTTTCTCTTCCCTCCTCCCACCCCTATGAGAAGAAAGGGTTTAAGGACTAAGGGAGGAGGAGGAGGAGGAGGATTGGGAACAGGGCCAGTGATCAGAAATTCTAGAACATAGGACAAATTTGGGAGGGAGAGAACCAGAGGCCCCTGCTGGGGTGGGTTTGCACTCATCATCCCCTCAGATCTCAAGTGGCCCTCCTGGCACAGGTCCCCAAACCTGCTAGCAAAATGTAAGCAGTCAGCCACAGTCAAGCAGGCCCTCCCTTGGATATGTGTGCCCTGGAACAACGCCCAGGTTGTCCTGTGTTAGTTCCTGCTTGGGGTAGGAAAATGAGAGGTAATTATGAGAGGGCATAGGTAGGAAGACAGGCCAATTAAGATGTTGAGTGTTGAGGAGGAGGGAAGAGAGGGCTGACAGGTAGCAGGCTGATATCTGTCCTGCCCTGCCCCAGGGGACCAGCTGGGTGGATTTACCCCTTTTCCAAAGGACTTTCTGAAGACTGCCAGGGTGCCCAGTGACAGGCTTCTGGGGGAAGGGAAGGGCTGATTTATCCTTCTCCCCTGGGGTTGTGCACTTTCTGCCGGGGCTATAGATGGGAGTGTGAATGAGGAGCATCTTGGATAAAATGGGGGTAAGGTCTTTTGGAGGTTGTATAAAGCCAGGTGTGGGAGGGGCGCTGAGGGCCATGACCTGCTCCCCACCAAAGTGCTCTCTGCCCTCGGTTCGTTCAGTCTCTCCCTAGGGAGAGATAAGGGAGTTGAGGGATGAGAAACACCCATCACTGGGGTCTCTTAAGTCCTGGACAATCCTCATCCTCAGCCCGTTTCTGTCTGGGGCCTCCCTTCCCCCTTCCATCCGCCCACCGCAGGCGGGGGAGCAGCTCCAGGTACTCTAGGCCCCGCAGGAGTTAAGCCTGGCCGGCCGCGGGCGGCTGTGGGGGCGGACCGCGTCAGCCTCTGACGTCAAGTCGGTGCCAGAGCCTGTGCGCAGCTCGGTGGCGGTGGCGGTGGCGGCGGCGGCGGCGGGGCGGGCGGGGAAAGGAGGAAAGCCCGGAGTTCAGATCGTTACTGATAGTAGCCCCAGTAGGGCCCTCGTCGGGGAATAGACGAGGTGAAAGCATTGGCTCCCGGCGGCCGGACGTGACCCTATGCATGATCACACGGTCTGAGAACACAGAACGCCAGACCTGGCTAGCATCTTAGAACCCACCCTCCAGAATGTCAGAGCTTATAACTCAGACGAACGTAGTGGAACGTCACAGCCAGACGGGACTTTAGAGCCTAAAACGACAAAGCTGGGAAAAGACTTGGAACGCAGAGCCCCCGATGCCAGAGCGTGGTGTAGTAATACGAGCTGGCTTTGGGTTTGGAGGACGCGGATTCAAATTCCAGCTCTGCCATTAACAACTCTGTCACCCAGGGCGAGTCACTTAGCTTATCCAGGCCTGTTTCCACACCTGGAAAATGAGGGGGTTGGACTAGATTACCTCTAAGGACCCTCAAGTTTTTTACTTCCGGTGGGAAGGAACCCCAGAGACGATCGAAACCAACTTTCTCATTTTCCAGAGGAAGAAACTGAGGCAGCCAACCACTAAGCATGTGTTAAAGCGACAACTATGTGCTAGGCACAGGGGGGTGGGGGCGGAATGCAAATACAAAAAAGTGAAACCTGGCCCTGCCCTCAAGGAATTTACAGGCTACTGGGCAAAAGCAAGGGGGAAGAGATCGCCCAGAGTTAGGGGCCAGAATTCTAAGCCAGGACTCCGTATTGACCGTCTAGTCCTTTTTGCTTTAAACGAGGAAGGCTCTAGCTAGGCCTCTGCTGTCCCCTCCACTCTCCAGGGCTTCCTCCGGCCCTTCCCGGAAAGCCCCCAGGGAGGGGTGTTGGGGCCGGGGTCCCAGACTAAGCCTCTCGGACCCAACAGCTTGGAGAAGGTCCCTCCCCTCCGCTGGACTCCCCACTCCCCGCCCCTTCTCCGCCTAGGAGTAATCAGACTAGGGGGCCCCAATAGGGGGAAGAGGGGGGAGGCCCGAGGCCCGGGGCTGTCAAGAACGGGTCTCTTCAGGCCCAAGACTGGGTGTTCGGCCCCGCGAGGGGAAATGAGAGTGTGGACTTCTGCCCAGCTCCAGCCCGGCCCCGCCCCTCCTCCCCCCCAACCCCCACCTTCCCGTTCCTTTCTGCGCAGGGCGCTCTAATCTGGGGCCGCGGTCAGGGACTTCTCTATCTGGGGCTGCCCTCCTGTGGGGAGGGGGATGCTGGGGGAGAGGAGGGGTGTCTGCGGGAGGCGCCTCTGACTGCTGGGAGACTTTAGCTCAGATCCTTATCTGGGGCCCAGTGGGGAGGAATAAAGGAGGGGAGGGACCAAGAGGCCCTATCTTCTTCCCCCCCCTTCCCCTCTCCAAGCAGAGACTGCAATCCGACCATTAATCAGGGGGAACTGGGCCTAAGTGATAACAGGCCTGGGTCTGGAGCTAGGAGTGAAGGGGGATGGAGGTGGCAGGGAACCAGTGGGAGGAGGAGGGCGTGCCTTGAGTACGTGTGTCCGTCTTTGTACACTGTGTGTCTGTACCTCTGGCCAGCCCTCGGGTAGACTCCAGCTGCACTCCCCTTCCTGTGCAGTCCTCTTCCTCCTTTCAGAGGCCAGCCCTTTCCTCCTCACTGCTCCCCTGTGAGGAGGTAATACCCTCATTTACAGATAAGGAAACTGAGGCCCAGAGAGGGGAAGGGATTTGGACAGGGGTATACCTTTCTGGAAAAATGAGTATTCTCTATTCTAGTCTCTGTCTTATCATTAACTGGCTTTGCTGACCTTGGTCAAGTCACTGCCCCTCTCTTTAGCCTCAGTTTCCTCATCTGTAAAATCAGGGATATGGATGAATCTCTAAAGTTTTGACATTTTATTCTAAGGACCCTCCCAGTTGACATTCTCTGATTCAAAATGCCTTTCAGCACTGACATTAATGTGTGCTAAAGGCCCTCCCAGCTCTAACATTCTGTATTCTAAAGTCCCTTCTAGCTCTGACATTCTGTGATCTATGTTCTAAGTTCCTGCACCCGCTCTGACATTTTATGTTCTAAGGATCCTCCCAGTTCTGATAGTCTCTGGTCTAAAGTCCTTCCCAGCAGTCCCAGCTCTTATATTCTATGGCTCAATATTTGTCCCAGCTCTGACCTGTGTTCTAAAGGCCTTCCAAGTTCTGAATACCATATTCTCAAGTCTGCTTTCCTTAAGATTCTATATGTTTATGAGTGTAAAGGACTAAATATACAGTAACCTTCTTTGCCTTTGGAGGAGGTGTGGGGGAAGGGAAAGACAGAACAGCTCAAGGGGGCCCCCTTTCCATGTTTGTGTTCCCTCTATTTGACCTGGTTTCCCTTCCCTGACTCAGACACCTAGGGACCCTTGATGGGCAAACGGGCTGGTCCAAGGGTTCTTGTTGCTTCCCGTGGCCTTGACCTTAGGAAGAAAACTGAGAAGGGCCTCAAAAGGAGCAGGCTTAAATCAGCGAGTTCCTGGCAGGCGCTTCTGTGTCTTTAATTAAATGCAGGGGCCTGGGAGGGGGAGGGAAAGAAGGAGGGCCTCGGCCTGGAGCCTGAGGAGCCTCAGTTGGCCCTGAGGCTCTTGGAGGGAGGTGCAGCCCAGAGGCTTCACTGCTTAGGGAGCGGGAGAATAGGGAGCTCCCCAGTCCAAGGCCCAGATGCCAGGGTCCTGGGGAGGCTGTGGCCATATTGCTCAGCTGGGGCTCCT